GAAAGAGTGGTTTGGTGATGATGGCAAAATCTTAGCATTGCCTAATCCAATTAAACAGTCTTCTACTAGGCCTCCAATATTCTCATTGGAAGAAGGCATTGCACCAGAACTTGAGACAGTGTACAGAAAGGTAGGGATATTTTGTGTACGTGGTTCCTGAGACCCAATATCCCAGTTCTTCTGCACCAGAAACCTTGGTGAGCTGAAGGGTTTTGTGCTAAGAACCATGAGTACTGACTGCTGTTTAGGGTTCCACAACTGATCTTTAAATGTGCTTTACTTTTTCAAGTATATTCCACCTGTATTTTTCTGTAAAAATAATGCATACAAAAGGATAAAGAGTTTAGCCAGCAGTACTGGTTAAAATAGTAAAGTGTCGGTCCACGACAAACTCCTTCAAGTCTGTGAGTCGCTCAGGTCTCTCTGAGGCACCCTTGGGTATTCTCATGCCAAAGTAGAGTAGTTCCTGTGTTAGTGTCTCTGTAAAGCTTCTTGTGGTAGGAGCTGGTAGACAGACTTGGTGATCAGGACAGAGGTGGTCTCTGCCTGCAGCTTAAGAGAGAAATAATTGAAGAGCATGTGCATGATGGTTATTGTACAGTATCCTCCAAAAAAATCTTTAGGTGCAGTTCGCTCATGTAGAAAGCAAATAATTTTGAGTTTTATTGCATCAGTTCAGATCTTTTTTTGGACTTCTGTTTTTCCCTCAACTACAACATACCTACCCTGGCAAAGAGCAGTTGCAGTGTGCAGTCAGTGCAAATCAAAATAAGTTTCAATTAAAACCATTCAGCAAGCTTTAATTGTTCTGCTTGTTAGCACCCTATTACCCCCTTGGAAAAACTGTGACTTTTTAGACTTTAAAGTAGATTGCTCTTTTCTGTTTGCTGCTGATACAGATTTGAATGTTACTCCTTAATTGATGCTGGTTACAAATACGCAATTCTCAGGATGCATCCAGTACCACGGATCTATGCAGGGTGTTTCTGCGTGAAGGAAAAGAAGTTTCTGTTTGGATCTTAATAAAAAGAGACCAAGAGAACTTCTATTTAAGAACACCATGTTTATGTGAATAGTGACATATAAATACACAAATCACTGTTGAAAGTAAGACATTAAGCTTAGGGGTCCTTTATGGGCAGAAAAATAGTTAAAGCATAAGGAATTCAAAGCTGTCATTTTTATGACAGATTAAGTCATATTAAACACTTTGAGAAACCAAATTTGGAAGGATCAGGTGGACTTAAGTGTGTTTTATGGCCATTTATACCAGCCTTGAAAAAGAATGAATTCTCCTTTCAATCCCCCTTTTTCAAGTTCCTACGAAGGGACTGCAATGAACTCTGCATAACTAACAACTTCATCTTTTATGGTACCAGAATGTCTCTGTTGAATCTCTACTGAGGAATTCTAAGAGGGGAGCAGCAGTAGTCAGGCAGGAAGCACTGCTCATTCTCTTCTGATTTCAGTGGCCTGAGGATATAAGCCATGATTGCCTTTCAGTTGCAGTGAGTTGAAGCAGAGTCTTTAAGCTTTGTTGCTGAAAGCTTTCATTGGACTTTGTTGGTGTGAATTTCCCTGGCGTTAGAAGGGGGAAGCAAATAACATATTTCTTCTTCTCCACAATCCAAATGGTCTACAAGGAAAGCTGCTCTCTGAGAGGTGGACTGTTTATCTTAGAGTTCAGTTCTAGGAGGAAAAAAAGCAATACTAAACAAACAGGTAAAAAGAGAAACTAGCAGGCTTTTCATTTTCCAATTCAGTGTCATTGTCTTCATTGCTCAGCAAAACCTGCAGTATCATAGAATCATAGAATGGTTTGGTTGGAAAGGACCTTAAAGATGATCATGTTCCAACCCCCTTGCCATGGGCAGGGACACCTTCCACTAGACCGGGTTGCTCAAAGCCCCATCCAACCTGGCCTTGAACACTGCCACGGATGCGGCATCCACAACTTCTGTGAGCAGCCTGTTCCAGTGCCTCACCACTGTCACCATGAAGAATTTCTTCCTAATTTCTAATTTAAATCTTCCCTCTTCCAGTTTAAAGCCATTGCCCCTGGTCCTATCACTACATGAGTACAGGCAGATGACTTCTTATTTCAGCCTCACGTGGGCTGTCAAAATTCTGTTGTGTAGAATACCCATGGTGGTTTTATGCCACCCACTTGGCAAGAAAGCAAAGAGGTTACCACAGAAGCCTTTACAGTTTAAGACTCTGTAGTTAGATGTAGGCAGTGCTAAATGGGTCATTTTCTGTCACAGAATCTCTTTGCAAGATAGTTTTGTCAGGACTTGTCAATTCATTTTTTTCTTTTTTGCTTTCAGGCAATAAAAATGACAGCTGCCAATCAGTATCTTGTTGGACCTGGAGATTTTCAGGGGCCATTTCAATTGGATATTGATATTTCTGGACTGATATTCACCCATCATCCCTGTTTTAGCCGTGAGCATGTGTTGGCAGCTAAATTGGCTCAGTTATATGATCAGTATTTAGCAAGAAAACAGAAGAATCTTACCAAACTTCTCACAGACAAGGTATTTCTGTTCCGTCGTCATAGCTTATTGAGATAATGATGTGACAGTTTAAGGTAACAGCTGTATTTGTTTCTTCAGAGTAGAGTGATGAAATTCTAATTGTATGTAATGAATGGTGTTTTTTCGGAAGGTAAAAAACCGAAATATTCCGCCTAGGTTGCTGCGTGTTCAGTGCAGAAGTGCATTTTTAAGATTATGAATTTCTCTGATCTTCTGTTTAAAATGAACTTTATGCAGTTTCTGAGGTAAAGGGAAATAATTGTTAGAATACAGTAACATTTACATAGTATTCCTTAGAGTATCCAAAATGTTTTCGAGTGAATGACAGATAACACTTTACATGACTGTGTACAGCAGCTCTGACAGGTAGACACCAAAAGACAGTATTCAAGGATAGAGGGAAGTTAGGGAAGTTTAGTTTCAGTCATTGATTAAAAGTAAAAGGAAGCAGTTTAATTTCACCATAATATACAAAAGTTGATGATCGATTTCCAGGTATATATCTGTGACAGATGCTGTGTTTTAAATGCATACTGTTGTCACATTTACTGTGTCACTCTTGTGACATGGCAAAACCCTAGGCTGAAGGTAGACTCTTCTGTTCCTTGCTCCGTTACTGACTTGCTGGATGACCTTGGCTGGGCTGCTTACCGTCTGCGTACCATCACTCTTCCTCCATCTGTACACTGGAAGTAATGGTAGTGGTTTTCTCTGGTGTAAATTTGTACAGGAAGATTAGGCATTGTTAGTACAATTCTAGTATCATCAGGGCGCACAGGAATATTTTTAAAGCATTTTAAAATGCTTTTGAAATCTGAAACGATAACAATTCTTGAGAAATGTCAGGTAAGTATTGTGATATGACATAGCTCTATGTAGTAGGGCTGGTCTGTTAAAAATTTATTTGATTATTAAGTACATAAAAGTTCAGATTTCCATAAATTAAAGGTGATTATGATTTTCTACCTTAAAAGGCTATTATAAGGGAAAAATAATCATTGTATGCAAGGTCATTTTTATATTGGTGTAATGAGGGTCAGTAGGTACTGTACAGATGCTTCTGAATTTTGCTGTAAAGCATTAGATTATAGTTCTAATGCTGGACAAACATTTCATACAGTGTCTCAAAACAATTATTTGGTATACTTTGGTCTGTCATTACTTTTGAAGGATTGGCTTCAGTTTTCCATGAAACAGTGAAATAGGACATTTGGATTCTCCCTGCCTGCATTACAGGGACCTATGTGTGCAAGGGATTTCCTTAGTGTTTCCACAATACTGTGCTAGTATTGTAGGCAACTACATAATACATTTTTGATAAATGGATTTTAACAATTAGGTATTTTAGCCACCATTCTGCTACTGACAGGCAGTTTTAAAACTTGTCTTCTCTAACAGTCATTACTTAATGGCCAGATTGTTGCAGCCAAATTGTACTTATGCCTAAACAACTCGATGCTTGCTCCTTGTGTATTAACATATATCACCTTTCAGTCCTCATTTTGACAGGCTAAAGAAACTGCACATTCTGTCTCTTTTTTATAAAACATGCTCTCTGTGCCCCAGATGGTACTAGCAACTTTCCATGTGCTCAATTATTCTTTCTTTCAAAATTTCTTTCAGCGTCTTTTTTTTCTACAAGTGAGCTTCATTTTGTGGTTGCCGATGTATGTTTTCAGCTGTGTGCTTTTTGCTCTCCAGTTAATATTGTCTCTCTGTTTTGCTAGATACAAAGAGTCTTTGCTGCTTGATTTGTAATTTGATTGCTTCTACTTTGGATGTAGTTGCTTTTGTCTCCTGCAGTGCCATTAGCCATTCTGGTTTCACATTCAGTATTATCCTTAAGGAATCACAGAATAACAGAATGATTTGGTTTGGAAGGGACCTCTGGAGATCTACAGCAGCATAATAACTAAAATTTTAGTTCCTATTCTACTACTGTTCCTTACTTTTCTCTCTTCTCCTAACCAGTCCTTTACATTCACTTGAGTTCACAGCCATGTATATTTTTGCATTCTTCTAAACTAGGTGTCCATCTTCCATGTAATCATTTGATACCTATCTTCAAATCTTAGTTGAAGGGATGGCCTCATGTCTTGACAATATGTCTTCAAAAGTACATTTGAACTGTACCATTGTTCCCAATTCTGTCTCTTCTTAGACCTTCTCTTCTTCTAGTTGTTACATGCAATGTGTTATGGTTAAATGCTTCGTTGCAAGGTGCCCAGCTTCTGTAAGGCTCTCATCAAATCCACAATCCACTCATTTTTACTGTTTATTGATTTTTCTAGGGTTACTTTTAGTGGCTCTTCCTAGTCCCAGAAAAACCTTTTATAGAAGGGGTTTCTTGGCAGACTCACCTTCCCCCTACCCTTTTGATTCCTGAACTTTCAGAATAATCCCTAGATCAGTCTTTTCCTGTTTGTTTAGATCTGTCACAGTGATCAATCTTAGTAAATCTCCCTCATGTGTCCAGGAATCCTAATTAGAATTTCATCTTGAGGAATCAGCACCTCACAGACCTGGCAAAACCCTGTAGATACAGAATCAAGACAACTCAAAGTTTTCTGTTATTTACTAACTAACTCTTTCATGTCAAGGTGCATTACACTGTGTGCCTCATAAATGTCAAACCATCTGTTAATTGTTTGTTTGTTTGTTTAAGCTGCATGCTTTGAGGAATGCTGTGCAATGTAGTATAGATGGTGGTGGTGCTGGTTTTCCTAGACCTGTGGCACAACAGAGCATGCCTGAATACAAAATTGAGATCCGGTAAGTACGGATTCCTAAAGTGTACTCCTTTTTTCCTTTCCATGCTGATACACAATATGATTAATGTCAGACTTTTAAATTCTACTGTAAATAGCTCTAGAAGAATTTTGAGGGCTTAAGTGTTCTTACTGGTAAGTTGAGTAAAAGAGATGAAGAAAATACAGCTTAGGCTGAAATCTTATTTCAGAAGTGTTCTAATTTGATTACCTTTTATTAATTTCTTAGTAACTATTTACCGGTGTGTTTTGCACAATTAAAATTTAATTAAAGTTTTGGTAGACATCAGCCGGATGCATGAAGCTCTCAGCAATGCAAGTGACATTTTTTTTGAACAGATAAAACCCCTAGTTTTTTCCATCTTCTTCCTCATTACACAAGTGTTCTTGATTCACTTCCCATTCTTAGGTATTTTGGCTATGTTTTTGCCAATGGGTTAATATACATAACATGGTAGAATTTTGTTTTACAAGATTAGTTATTGTTCTTGGAGAGTAACTGGGTAGTAAAAATATATTACACTTTTTTGGCTTGGTAGTGAAAGTTAGTATTATTTTTGGCAATGAGTGGTGGTGAGCTGTAAGTGTAAGCAGTATGATAAAAATCAAGTTATTTTTGAGATCCATGCTGAACAGCCCTTGAACTAGTAGATACTTCATAAAACTCTGAAAGTTTTTTGTAATCTGAAAGTAAGTAATAATGTATTAATTTAAATAAACAGAAGTTTAGATTGATGTAATGGGTCACATGATAATACAATATTAAAAAATCAAGTTTTTTAAATAACAATTCTACTTTCAGCCTTGAAATCTACATCTGCTTACACTTACACATCCACTCACTACTCTTATTTGGGGAATTGCTTCTTCAGATTTTCGTCATTCAAGTACGCTGTCTTGTAATACATTGGTATCTGTGCAGGACATAGAGAAGAATATATTATTTTATACTGAAGGACAAAGTCTTCCTTCCATTGAAAAAGAAGTAGCTTTTATTAATATTTTCTTAACACATCTGCTAGGGGACTAGGAGCAAGAGATGTGTAGTTACTATAGAGTACCTTGGAGATGTAAGCTCTCACCACGGAAAGCATGAGAATAGTACTGAGAAGGTTCACTGTGGGAACAAGGTTCTTGGATTTTGGCACTAACCCTGAGGCTTGCTTAATGTTAATTCTAATTAGATGGAATATTCCTTCTGGGTATCTTAAGTGTTTTTCTAGGTCTTGAGTGCTTTAGTTTAGTGTCACTCTTATGAATCAGGAGAAACTCAGCTGAAATCAGTGAGATCAGTGTTGCATAAGTGATGTGAGATGAGCTTCGCTGAGATTATTCTAGGGCTTTTCGTATCTGTAATTCTTTCTGGCTACAGCTCTGTTGTTGGAAGCTGTTAGACATATGAGGCTCAGATGGGCTCAGGAATTTTTACTGTCACGGTGTTTAATACTAGCTTGGACCACATGTGTTGGTAAAAACATCTGACCTGCCTTGTCTCTCTTTTAACATTGCATTTCCCTGATGGTCAATGTAGTACACTTGTGAGAAATTGCAGATGTGAAGAGAGTGTAGCATGGCAAATAATCTGTTTCCTCCACCCTCCAATAACATAACTGATGTGTACTCTTTGCTGTCTGAAGATCAGATCAGAGCTGTAGTTTTCCATCAGTTTGAGGAAGAAATGTTGTCTGAATACAGAAAACTTCTGCAAATCAGCAATTTCAGCCCTTCTGTCCTCGTTTCCTGAGGAGAAAGCCAATGTATGCTGTGGGTTTCAGGCTCTTCTGGCTGATGTATTTTAGCAGAGGTGATTCTCTACTGAAAGGTCCTACTTCCAAATCAAATACATTAGATATTACTGACCTGTATGTTTTTCATGTCTTTAAGCTTCATCTTCTAGCTTCATCTGATAGACAAAGAAGAAAAGGTGGTTAAGCTGCATAGACAAGTAATATTTAAACTGCTAGCTAATGAAGTGGAGAAGTTACATTGTTTTGTGGAAATTCTGTATTTCTTTGTTTATTGCTTTTACTAAATTTGCTTATGCTTTTAAATAATGTATGATGTATTTCTTCTCTCAGCTCTACCTCAGCCTCCCTGTCTTCCCCATTCTCTGAATATTACAAGTAGTAATGTGTTAGTTTACATCTTCTGGTTTTTACTTTTTTTTAAAAATTACATTATTTTTACTAGACATGTTTAGCTACCAAGATAGTACTGGAAACAGTTTGTGCTTGTGCTGCATAGACATTTACATCAGAAGTGTGTGTTGGTCATTAAAAGTTCTAATGAATAGCTCTTTTACAAACAGATTAGAGGGTGGAAATGTGAAAAACCAATTCTGAGGCAAGAAAAAGCCCTGTTCATTTTGTTTGTGTTAAGAATCTTGTAGGACTGTCAAAGGACTTATATTACTTCATACATTACTACATTACTTCATCTCTGCAAGTCCTTTTTACTGGAGCTAGAAGCATGTTAAGTTTAAAACATACTTTATAGTGTACAATTGTAATAAGCATTACTTCATAGCAGCAGTGTAGGTTTCATGGGCTGTTGTTTACATGAATTGACTTTAAAATGTTTTAATGATATACAGCTGTAATAAGCATTTCAGAATACTTTATGATCTCTAGAGAATTAACTGTAATTGAAGTCAGATTGCCCAAAGTGCAAGAGACTAGAGTACAGAAGGAAATCAAATCCTGCCATCTTCAAGTCTGGGTTTTATGCTCCTTGGATTTAAACCACTGCAGCCATCAATCAAATTGAAATCCATATCACTTGGCTTTTGGTATCGCAAGTTTTTACTCTGTTGTTCAACTGGATTATACAATTCTGATTGATTTTGTGCATATGTATGTATATTTCTAGGCAAACCAGAAGACTTCGTGATGCTGAACAAGAAAAAGACAGAATGTTGCTTAAGACCATTATAAAAGTTTGGAAACAAATTAAATCCCTTCGTGACTTTCAGAAGTTTACTAACACACCCATGAAACTTTATTTGAGGAAGTATGTTTTGATAACACTTTCTGTACTTCATTTGCCAGCAGTGGAGTTTTAGTAAGATTAGTCAATATGGGAACTTACAGTTCTGATATGAAGGATGCAAAAGTAAGAATTTGAGTAGTTTCTGGCACTGGTTGAGCCTGCCACTATTCTTTTTGAGTTTGGGGAGGAAGGAATGTTAAAATAGCAAGTAATTACTATAACAGAAAGGAATTTCTACAGGCTAATGAGTGAAGAAAAAGTAATTATATTCATTCTGGATAGCAACTATCTGCTATCAACTTTTAGACTGTTTATGCTAGTATTTTTAAATAGAACACTGTTTTGATATAATGAAATTAATTCATGGAGAAGCAGACTTATTTTATATAAAACAGACTTAATTGTGACCTGTATGTTAATTTATGCAACATGTTGATAACTTGTTTTGAAGGGAAGAGGTTGATCAGAGATTAGATGAAAAAGCATATGAAGGAGAAATTCAGGCTGAGATAAATGAATTACTAGAAGAATGTATGGAAGAATATGAAAAGCAAATGGAGGAGTATAAAACTGAGCTACAAGAGTGGAAATCTTGGAAGAAGACACAGGTTTGTTTAAATCATTCAGTTTCACAAAAAATGAAATTATTACTAAATGTGTTGAAAATTTGTGCTTTTAATACAGAAAAAAAATCAATTTCAGGATACTTTTCCATACATTTTGTAATGTATTTGGATATATGCTGTCTACTTAGAATTTGTTAGTAAATTAATTGTTAATTAAAAATTAAAATATGCTAGGTTTTTGTGGAACACTGTCTTCCTGCTGTTGATTTTCAACACTTCAGCAGTTCTTTCTTTAAGTTTAATAGTTTTGCAGCATTCCGATTAAATTCATGTCCTTCTTGCAAAGAAAAAACATGGATGAATTTTGTGTGTGTGAGTGGTGAAGCAAAATAATTATGGGATGTTTCTAATGAACAATCATTTGATGTCATCTCATGTAAATTTATGTTCAGGAATCTCCCGAAACTGAAAAATTTAATTAATATTCTAGCCTTCTACCTCCGAAAAGCTTTATTGCTAATAATCTGTACTGTAGTTAAGGTCTCAATTGTGCTTCAAGGGGATATTGACAAATACAGGAGGTAGAACAATACACTGCAACAGGATGATCTTTGAAATAACCTGTGGCAGTGCCGGCAAAATCAGACTTGCTTTTATAGTTATGTGGCAATGTACTGGATGCCTCAGGGTAATGGTGATTATACATGAATATAATTACTGCCCAGTTTGAACACTGTGGGTTTTTGGATACCAGAACAAAATAAAGTTTAAGGAAATGCTTCAAATACAGTTTTCAAGAACCTAGTGCATCTGCTGATACTTCTATGGGAAGTTATTTCATGTACCTGTAGCATCTATGGAAGGCACTTAAAATATCTAGGACAAGAGGAAACGATCTCAAGTTTCACCAGGGGAGGTTCAGGCTGGACATTAGAAAGAACTTCTTCACTATTAGAGTCATTAGGCATTGGAATGGGCTCCCCAGGGAGGTTGGTGGAGTCACCATCCCTGGAAGTGTTCAAAAAACGTTTAGATGTGGCGCTTCGAGACATGGTTTAGTGGGTTTAGCGGACATAGTGGCATCAGGTATACGGTTGGACTTGATGATCTTTGAGGTCTCTTCCAACCGTAATGATTCTATGATTCTATTTGAGGGGAAGCTGACCTACAGGTATTGGAAATTCCTGTTATCAGAACACAAGTGGGCACATGACTCATTAGTGTCATGTCAATTCACTTATAGGATAAGATGAATAAATGTAAACCTTCACTTTAAGGCAGATAGTCCTGAGCATTGATCCTAATGGGAAGCGCTCATCTACCTCTAGCCTGTTAGGCCTTCACAAATACCACAGTGGGTGGTTCCACCCAAACCTACTCTCAGCATCTTTTTCATGTCTTAGTCACAAACTGTCTTGAGATTGAGATGATTGTGGTTCTCTCCTTTTAGAGTGAAATGTAGTACACAGACCTTCCTTTCATGCCCAGAAGTGCCTTATTTTATTTTACTCAAATTATTTTTATTTTTTTTTTGTTAATCACAGCTGTTGGTATCTTACTAGCACAGATCACATGAATATAAGGAAGACACTAGAGGTAGAAGAGACTAGATAAATTTAAAAGGAAATACAAGAACAAAAAGGGTAGCATAAAATCAGGCCAAGAAAGAAAGAATATTTATTAATTAAAATATGTGAAGAAGTTGTTTGGCTGAATACTTCAGTTAGTGAGGAGAAACTGTTTGCTGTCCTCACTTCCTCTTCCTTTTGCTTATGGTGTCTTAAATCATAAAGTGGCTGGTGCTTCCAAACAAGCTGTACTTCCAAGTAATCTGTAAGCCTGTGGAAGGAGGAACTTCCTTGCAGTTGTTGCAGGCTGAACATGCACATGAACACTGGAGTTCTGCAGTTCAGGAGATGCTGAAAGGCATGTGGTGTTCTGTTTGTTTATTCTTCTGTTTAGCATAGAGGAAGGGAGGGGATCGTTCTGCACATGCTGAAGATACTGCTAAGCTAAAAAGCTTGTGCTCCGAAGTTTGTGGCACATGTGCATTCATTTTGTCAATGTGTATGCAGACAATACATCTCAAAGAACTGTGTCTACTGGTTGAGTAACCTTCCTTCAATCCTAACAGAATGCACATGGTAACTCAGGCTCAATGAGAAGTCAGCTTCTAGCCAGAATGTTCAAGAAACACGTTTATTTTGTAAGTTGGTTGGGAAGGTTAAATAAATGTTTTGTTTGAAGCACGTTATGTTTTTGAAGTGTATGAATGGAATGCATTATTGAATTCTGAATCTGAAGTAGTACCATAGAATGATAGAAATCTTATTTTTCTGTGTGGTGATTTGAAAATTACACAGTCATTTCTCATACATGTTTATCACTTGTGAATCAAGAGAACAAGGGAAAAAAAACTCTACTGATTGAAACAAGTTCAGGAAGAACATTATTATTTTTATACACAGAAGTCCAAGAAGAAGAAGAAGAAAAAAGACATTAATGAAGAAGAAGAATTAGTAGAAGATTGTGATCTTGGTGAGGAACGTGTAAAACCCATCCCACCTAAAATGCCCAATAGCCTGGAAATAGAGCAGCAGGTTAGAGAAAAAGCTGACAACTGCAGAAGGAAACCTGGAGAGCCTGCTCTAATTCCTGAACTGGTCCTGTCAGGAGGCATAACTCCAACTGAGCTGTGTCCTCGGTGAGATAAATGCTGGCTTGCAAATTACTCTGTTCATGACTTTCTGCTGTTATTTATTAATTGTTTGTTTGTACAACTTCAGAAGCATGTGCTCATCACTGTTTAGCCTGATGATAAAACTTCTGCTTCTGAAGCTGATAGAACTTAGTTCGTTTTCAAGTCACATGTAACCTTGTACATAGGGGGCTTGGAGAATGCATGTCTAGTCATTCCCTTTGAACCTTCTGGTGTTCCTTGAGCACCTGCATAGAACAGTTGTGTATATATAAAGACGTTGTTTTCAAGGTAGGGTCTAGGTCACTTCTGGCAGTACCACGCTCCCTGACTAGTCCTTTACATCACGTCTGTGCTATAGTCAACAAAGGGGAAATAAAGGAATCGTGTAGTAAACCAGAGATTTCACTGTGGATAAAATAAATAAATGTACTTGTTTGTGTTACTTTCCAGATTTACACATGCAATTTAACATACATCTAGCAGATTTTATTAATTTAAGAACTGCTTTGTTTCATACTTATTCAGCAAATAGCCTCATCAAGGAATATTGCTTGGCTCTTCTACTCCCAGTGACTGAAAACTTCAACATCTTAACTCAATTTGATGTCATTTGTTGTGCTTTGGAGGAAGGGAGTAGAAAGGAATTTTGTTTCCCTGAACAACTCCTTTTATATGGAGGTAGCTTTAGTGGATCTAAAATTTGACTTATTCACCTGTAAATAATTTTCTATTCATGAGAAGATAAAACAACTGTTAAATAATAGTTTTAAAGTTATTCCTGTGTAGTGACAATCTCAGAAGAATGCCATTTCTATTTAGGTGGCTTCTGTTTCCCCTTGAAGAATCAGATTCTCATTAAAAATAACCAAAGAATAAAAATGTTAATAAAAATGATGACAACTTGTTTGACATATTTACAGAGCAGAAGTTTTGCGACGAGAAGATGTGAAGAAACGCTCAGCATTTATAAAAGTACTTTTCAACTCCAAAGAAGTATCAAGGACTGTTACCCGACCAATAAGTTCAGATTTCAGAGTTCACTTTGGACAGATTTTCAATTTACAAATATTCAATTGGCCAGAGAGTTTGAAACTACAGGTAGAGAATGATTTATCATAGTAACTTCTTAAAAGATAATATGAAATGTAATTACTCCTGTAATGTGTGTATTTTGCTCTATGGTAGTGTTGTAAAGACTGAGAAACCTGTAAAAGACCCTTTGTAAATCATCAGTCTTATACCCCTTCCTTGCTTGTCCAGTCAGAAACTTTTTTATTTGGTGCTATATTTTTGATGCATGTGCTACGTGCTTAGATGTGTTATATATAACATTCTATGGGTTGCATGGGGAGAATTAAGTAAATGGGACATGTGATTAAATATGTTAGTGGAGCAGCCTCTTGATTTTAGAAAACCTGATTTGTGTTGCAGATAAACTTGCCCAAATGATCATCTTAAAACATTATTGTCCACACAGTACAATCATCATAATGTTTGCTGACAGGGGGTAAGAAAATAATTCATTGCTAGTCGTGTCTGTAACTGCACTTGACTTGATCAACAGCGCAGTCAAGTCAAACCACAACCACCCCCATTCCAAGTATCAATTAGTGAATGAGTCACATGAATAATTTTCAGAGCCAATACAATATATTTTTAGGAGGAACATGGTCAGGATCCTACTTCTCCTGTGAGATGACATTTCCTGTTAGGTAACTTGTCACTGGTAGGTCAGGGGAGGGTGTATACCCCTTGCCTGCTCCATTTGTGTAATGCACAAATGGAAAGGGAAAAGGCATACCATCCTCTTGGATTAAAAACATCTGAATGGAGAAATCACTCGCATTGCTCTTGAGTCTGCAACTGGCCAGGAAAGAGGAAAGCAGCCTGCAGTACTGCTAGAACAGGACCTGCGTGCCTCACCCTGCCTTTCGTGATAAGGAAGAATTAGTGAGGCAGAATCCCTCTGGCACCTTCACCTGATGACAGATGCCTGTCACAAGCAGTTGCATATGGTACAGTAGGGCTCTTTAAAGCCTAGAGTTTGTTCTGCTATTCTCAGGTGCATTAGAAAGGTGAAGAGTATTTACTTTGAAGAAGAATTCAGACCAAGTTAGCTGCTGGTAGCTGGAATGTCTGCTAATTGGGTGTTTTAGAGAGTAAATTAATACAATTGCCTTAAATGTATCATTTCATGCTTAAGTCATAGTAAAACCTTTTGTCCAAATACCCTACAATACATTTTCAACTTCTCATTAACACGTGTAAATTTTTTACTATGTCTGTCACTGTTTTTCTCTAGATATATGAAACAATGGGTGTGAGCAGTACCACCTTGTTGGCTGAAGTATTTGTGCCTGTTCCTGAGACTACAATTCTGACAGGCAGTGCTCCTATGGAAGAAATAGAGTTCAGCAGCAATCAGCGTGTGATGTTGGACCATGAAGGCGTAGGGAGCGGTAGGAACTCTTGGTCTTTCTCAGTTCAGTGTTTCTCATTTTGCTGAAACCATGTAGCAGTAACAGGCTGCTGTAAGTTTCAGAGTAAATTCAGTTAAGAGCATTTACAGCATCTGTAACTGAATCTTATAAAATAGTCATGATTCTTATTACTAAAGTTTGCTGTGGAATTTTTGTCTTTTACTAATTTTAAGCCATATATAATAAAAATGTATGTGTTTATTATTTGGCTTGTAGTGTTAGTGGAGCTCTACTAGTTATAGAAGGTGTTTGGGTTTTTTTTTTTTAGTATTTAAGTAATCAGACTTCTGACACTGCAGAGCAAGCAGATGGTATTAATTGGTATAGCTCCACTGATTTTAATGTTTTCAACCACTGAACTACCTGTGTAAGTGTATATGCAGATTAATTTTTTTTGTCTTCCTGTTTGCTTACTTGACATCCTGCAACACATTTCATCCCTGGGACTTGAGAAAGGTAAAGCAAGGGAGAGATATGAAAACGGAAAACAAGAATGATACATAGTAGCATATGGAACTTTCAAGTTTATGTAATAAGTTGGAACAGCATTATGAGATGACTGACTTGTATAAAGTTGCCACATATGAAATAGAGATCAAGCTAGAGCAAAAAAAAATAGATAAAAAGCTGTGCAGGAAAGAAATGTAAAAAATCATTACAACAAATGTGTGTGTAATTGTCATTGACCATGATGACTGTGTATACGGTTGTGTATCACAAAACTTTAGGACTGACTTTTCAGTTGTGCGTAATTCTTTTGACTCTGAATTTCTACTTCATTAATAACAGTATGATGAATCTGAAAACTACCAGAAATATTAAATAGTGTGCATCTGTGAAGGAAGAAAAAACCCTTTGACATAGATTTCAAGGCATAGCCTTTCCTTCCAACCCAAATGGAAAGCCTTTCTGTAGGTGGAATGGAATCTTTCACTCCATTTATGGAGTCCTTTCCCACAGCATGCAGCAGAATCAAGTTGTTTCACATTACAACATGTATATAAAGGCACAAGTTATTTGACTACTTTTTTCCAGGAAGTATTTTTTAAAATGGTTAGACATTGTGTTTGAATGCATAAATAATACTACATCAGGTTTTTCCCCCTTATAGACGTGTCCTTTTCATTTGAAGCTGATGGTAGCAACAAAATGACTTTAATGACTTCTGGGAAAGTATCCAATAGTGTCTCTTGGGCAGTTGGAGAAAAAGGAATCCCCTTAATTCCTCCAATATCTCAGCAAAACACAGGCATTCCAAGGTAATATGATACAAATTTTCAGTGATTCATGGGAAACTGATTATACTAGTATTTTAAAAAAATAAACTTTCATAATCAAGAATTTTCAAAATCTTTTTCTTAAGTTTAGATATTTTACTTTGCCCTGTAACCCTCTGCAGATATATTAGGGTACACATTTTTGGTAAACAGATTTTAGTTAGAATTTTTATCTTTTAGTATATTATTTATAGACAATATTAAAGTTAAACTCAAGCTGATTAATTCACTTTTGTGATTTTCTAATAGAAGATGTATATATTGGCAAGGAACTTTCCTGTAGTCATTTTGCTAAGAACAGAAGCTCCAGGTATTTCTTATCTGAAGTGCATTTGGGGAGCTACTGGGACACATGCTTTAAATACTTTTTCTGTAATTAATGATAAAATTTACACCATGAAGGCAGTAGAAGTTAGTATGGTGGATTGACACAGTGAATTAATCAGTGAAAAATTCTGATCTGTCAGATCTTTCCAAGGTCGTACTCTTTCATTATTTTTCTCCATCAGAAGCCCGTTGACCTGCAGAAATGAGTATATTATTCCATTCAAAACTATCTAATTTGCCCTGTGGCTGCAAGTTGAATATTGTAGACTATTTGTCCATTTTCTTGCTTTTATATAATTCCAATAAAGTCAAGGAAATGATACATAAAGTCTGCTTTTGTAATGTCCTCAGGTAACTTCACTGTAAAGCCTGAAGAGTTTTACCATACTTACGCTGAGAAAGTAACTCTTCTAGCTGATTAGATTCTGTCAGATTTTTACTTATTTAGGGGCTAGACATTGGCATCCAAATTATTCTGTTACTATTTTTGACTCCAGCTGCATCCTTTAGAGTAATTTGCTGATCAGCATAGGAGTAACCTGCGGACTTCCATGAGACTAGAATAGCATGAGATTAAAACATAAGGATGCATTCCCAAAGGCTAACTTTAAACTTGGGAGACTAATCACTGTAGTAAATGGGGGATTTCAGAAGAGAGTTAGCTGTAAAACACTCTTCTTTGAATCACAGAATCGCAGAATGGTCAGGGTTGGAAGGGACCTCTGGACATCATCTAGTCCAAGCCCCCTGCCAAAGCAGGTTCACCTACAGCAGGTTGCACAGGATCTCGTCCAGGCAGGTTTTGAGTATCTCCAGAGAAGGAGACTCCACACTCTGGACAGCCTGTCCCAGTGCTCTGCTGCACTCAAGGTATAGAAGTTCTTCCTCATATTCAGATGGAACTTTCTGTGATTCAGTTTGTGCCTGTTGCCCCTTATCCTGTCTCTGGGCACCACTGAAATGAGTCTGGCCCCATCCTCTTGACACTCCCCCTTAAGGTATTTATAAGCATTGATCAGATCTCCTCTCAGTCTTCTCTTCTCCAGGGTGAACAGACCCAGTTCCCTCAGCCTTTCCTCATAAGGGAGATGCTCCAGTCCCCTCATCATCTTTGTTTCCCTCCACTGGACTCTCTCCAGTAGTTCCTTGTCTTTCTTGAACTGGGGAGCCCAGAACTGGACACAGAACTCCAGATGTCATCTCACGAGGGCAGAGTAGAGGAAGAGGATAACCTCCCTCAACCTGCTGGCCACACTCTTCCTGATGGACTCCAAGACACCATTGGCCTTCTTGGCTGCAAGGGCACGTTGCTGGCTCATGGTTACCTTGTTGCCCACCAGCACTCCCAGGTCCTTCTCCCACCAAGCTGCTCTCCAGCAGGTCAACCCCCAGCCTGTACTGGTGGCGTGGGGTTATTCCTCCCTAGGTGCAGGACCCTACACTTGCCCTTGTTGAACTTCATCAGGTTCCTCTCTGTTCATCTGTACCCTGTCCAGGTCTGGCTGAATGGTAGCACAGCCTTCCGATGTATCAGCCACTCCTCCCAGTTTTGTATCATCAGCGAACTTGCTGAGGGCACGCTCTGTCCCTTTATCCAGGTCGCTGATTAATAGGTTAAACAGGACTGGACCCAGAACTGACCCCGGGAACACCACTAGCTACAGGCCTCCAACTAGACTCTGTGCTGCTGATCATGACTCTCTGAGCTCTGTCATACAGCAAGTTTTCCCAATCCACCTCCCTGTCCACTCATCTAGCCCACACTTCCTGAGCTTACCTATGAGAATGTTACTGGAGACAATGTCAAAAGCCTTGCTGAAGTCAAGGTAGACAACACCCCCCTGTTCCCCCCAGCCACTCATGCCATTGTAGAAGGCTATCAGATTGGTCAAGCATGACTTCCCCTTGGTGAATACATGTTGACTACTCCTGATAACCTTCTTTTCCTCCACATGCTTAGAGATGATATCCAGAATGAGCTGTTCCATCACTTATCCAGGGATGAAGGTGAGGCTGACTGGCCTGTAGTTTGCTTAGTCTTCCTTCTGGCCCTTTTTGAAGGCTGGACTGATATTGGCTTTCCTCCAGTCCTTAGGCACCTCTCCTGTTCTCCATGACCTTTCAAAGATGATCGAGGGTGGCTTAGCAATAATATGTGCCAGCTCCCTCAGCA